ATGACATGACTAAATAAAATTATACAGTTATTGCATATACAAATAAATCTCTCAGTGAGAAAATTGATGGAGGTACAAAAGCTACTACTGGATGATAAAGTTCCATATTTATAACTTGTATATTAAAGGTGCAGTAGGTGATCTGTCAAAATGCTAAGCATTAGCATACAAGCTTTGAAAACAGTCTCCCTCCCCTGCCCTACAAAACCACTCCTCATGAAACCCAATCGCGCACTGTTGATGATGACAGTAGAAAATCCACTAGATTATGTCATTCGCCAATTCCCAACGACAAACTATTATATCTGGCACATTTTAGTTGTGTAGCAAGCAAAACTTGTCATAGTGTGCAGTATTTCATGCAATATTTAATATTTTTCAGTATTTTATTTAATTCTTTTCACTTTAATTTAGTATTTATATGCTCCCTCTTGGGCAGATTGTTCAGAAATATGGCCTAGGTTATCGCTGTTATGCAGACATTAAGATTTATATCAACACCCATTCTGATTTCACTACTACTGCTTGGATTCTCTAAACCTGCTTGCTGTAAATCATGAGATTTTATTAATTTTCACTAAATCTAAGTAATTAAAAGTTTTCTGTCAACAATACCCAATACAATGCACGTCTAAATTATGAAAATTACATAATTTGCATCATAAATGTATTATTATCAATCTAATTATTACAGAGCTCTGCATTGTTATTTATTTTTTACATTCAGCTGGTGCAACTGATCCCTGGTGTTCAACTGGCTTTATTGTTCTTCACAATCACATTTAGTTTGATGCATTTCTTTTTTATTTCCTCCAAATTGTCGCACACCGCACTGAATTGAAGAACTACTAAACGTGTTCAGACATTCTATGATGGGCAACCCACCAGCCCTCCAGGTGTGTGCCACATACCTATGGCTGAACCGTTCTGCAGCAAGACTAGAGAGGTCAGTGCTGTTTTCCAGATCGCTGTTTCTTTCACTTTCTGTCGATCTTATTCTTGTTTTATTTATCAACTTCTTATCTCCTTTTGTAGGTGCTCCTGGAGGTTGCACAGGGACTTGGTGTGAAGTGCCACACTCGAGGGACAATGGTGACCATAGAGGGTCCTCGTTTCTCTTCTCGAGCAGAGAGCCTTATGTTCAGACAATGGGGTGCTGATGTCATCAACATGACCACTGTACCGGAGGTGGTTCTTGCCAAGGAGGCTGGCTTGTGCTATGCAAGTATTGCGATGGCAACTGATTATGACTGCTGGAAAGAGCATGAAGAGGCGGTGAGCAGAAGTGTGTGTGTGTGTGTGTGTGTGTGTGTGTTTGTGTGTACCTAGTTAAACTTATTCCTCTTTTTTTGAGACCACAAAGGACGTTCTTGTTTGTAAAAACAATGTTTACATACAGTAGTGACTTATTTTGTCAAACAAAAGCATCCTCATTTATTTTCTTTCAGTGAAAAATGTGGGTTAAGTTATACTGTATATAAAATAATATTTGTCTTTTGATGTCTTCATTTAGTTAGCTAAATAAACAGTTGTAGTTTAAATCTTAAAATTAAATCTTAGCAGTAGTCCTTAGCTAATACATTGTATTTTGCTGGCTTCTTGTAAGCCATTTGACTTCTTGCCAATATTCCCTCTAAACTGTACACAGCTGCACGTTTCTGATGTTACTCCCACACAAGCCAAAAAATGCTGTGCAAAAGGCAGACTCAGAAATGTGTCTTTAAATAAAACATACAATCTTTTTCAGTCAGTTCCAACTGGACTACATTTTGTTTTTTTTCCGGAACTGAAACTAAACTGAACAGAATTTATGCAACCAGTGAATCTCGTTGTAATGATTCATGGTCAATTTATGTTTTGTTGTAACCATTTTCAGTCTAATCTACCCACAGCTGGGGTGAGGGGACATGTAACTTCCGACAAAATACATTATGAGACCTAAAATTAAAATCAAGATCATTATTAATAATAATATAATAGGAATAAGGTATTAGTCTGGGTATTAAAAACTAATAAAAATAAAAATTGTTTAATGACTTAAATGCAGGATTATTCTCTTCCTCGGATGTAAAGGGTTTGGCTAAAGCAACCTCTCACTAACCCCTTTTGACATTTTACAGGTGAAAAAAAGATTTTTTCCCTCCTTAATATTATTATTATGAAAGCATGAAATTCTTGAAGTGGTGTTTTCTGACATGATTACTGATTCTGCCTCTGAACTGCATGGCTTCTTAATTGCTGCTTGCAGCTAAATCTATTATTATTTATTTTGTCAGTGACTATTTAAAAAAAAAAAAGTTAAATTTTATCATTTACGAGAATGTGTTTTTGAAGTTACAAAACATGATGAACAGTTCGCTTTATTATGCTGTTATTGGTTATTACTATGGTTCACCAACACCCTTTTAAAATAATAATGATTTTCCATCAAGATTAAAGGTGAATTATATCATTTCCGTGTTACACGATGGAATTACAGGGAAAAAAAAAACACAGGACCTTTCCAAATAGCCCCTATACTCACCCCACCCTTTCTTAAGCTTATTATTATCCCTAATTTATTCTTTTTATGGTGCTTGTGTGTGAAAAACGTGAGCTTAGCTTACTTGAAGAAACTCTTTATTGAAACCCAAACATTGCATGAAGTGTATTCATTATTTAAATGCTGTTTACCTTTTTAAATATTTTTTTGTCAATGGCATTAAGTCAATGAATAAAACAAATAATTTTGGCATAAATCTTACATCATTGAGCTTTTATTTAAGCTTTTTTAAGACATTTATAAATGTATTAATTATGGCGCAGTAGCTTGTATAAAAAGTGTTTGCATATTAACAATAATCAATAATTTTATTGTTTTGTTTTTTTTAAACCAAGTTTATATACACTCACTGGCCACTTCATTAGGCACTCCTTACTAGTACCGAGTTGGACCCCCTTTTGCCTTTAGAACTGCCTTAATCCTTTGTGGATTTGTCAGCTGCAAATCCATGATGCGAGTCTCCCGTTCCACTAAATCCCAGAGGTGTTTTATTTGATTGAGATTTTGTGATTGTGGTGGCCATTTGAGTACAGTGAACTCATTGTCATGTTCAAGAAACTGGTCTAGTATGATTCACACTTTATAACATGGCGCGTTATCCTGCTGGAAGTAGCCATTAGAAGATGGGTACACTGTGGTCATAAAGAGATGGACATCGTCAGCAACAATACTCAGGTAGGCTGTGGCGTTGACATGATGTACAGTTGGTAATAATGGGCCCAAATTGTGCCAAGAAAATATCCCCCACACCATTACATGTTTACATGCCTAAATGCATTTAGCTACTGCCATGTAACTGGCTGATTAGAAATGTGCATTGGAAAGGTGTACCTAAGAAAGTGGCTGGTCAATGTATATTTAAAGCCTTGGTTCCATTCAAGACCATCTCTTCTAATGGTCCTTATGTTTGTGGCAAATACAAACCATTAAGCTTTAGCCTTTATTATTATTTTGGTGCTTAAGTCTAAATTGAGAGCTTCATGTTATTAGGTGCTTTTTTATAGTTTATTGTAAACAAGAGATTTGACAATGTGTTTTTATATATATATATATATATATATTTTTTTTTTTATTATTTTTTTTAAATGCTATTTTAAAGAATGAACCTTATAATAGGCAAAAGTGTTGTTGCTGCGTCCAAGTTATTTGTATCTTAGTTCAGAAGAATTTTTATAGGATATTTATTTTTAAGTCAATAAACTCTCTGCAGATTATTGTTTCCGATAGCCGGATGACCGGTAAGACTGGTAGTTGGTGTTGGTGTTTACTTCCCCTTGCATTTCTCAGTCCGCCTTCCGAGTTCCTGCTGCTGACCTCTAGTTTTCACTCCCTGCTTCATCACATCCTTCCGTCCCTGTATGGTGTTCTCAGTATCTCTGTCTGATTCATACACAGACAATCATACACAGTTTGTTGGCAGCCAATTAGTCAGTTCCTCCAGAGGAAACCACTGTTGATAAAAAAAAAAGTAAAAAGTGTGTAGTTCACATTTCCTGTCGGTGCAGTAGGTTAAATGTAGATCCTGACATTATACAACCAAATGGCTCATAGTTTAGAGACAATAGTCTATCTGTTACTTGAGCATAAAATGTAGTCCAGTTCAGCAACCTTATCAGAGCAACTGCAAACAAACCTGAGACTCTTAAGAGATCTAATCTAAATTCTTTTATGTGGATTTTGTTTAGTTTTTTATGAAGATTTCTTTTAATCCACATAAATCGAGCAGTTTAATGCAAATCTAGTGAGAGACATGATAACTTTATAAGATTTTTAGATGTTTTTAGTTTATTTTATTCTGATATAAACATTGGACAGCTTAACTAGTTTATACATAGATGTGTGAGAACAATCCTCATTGTGCTGATGTGATATACTTAAGCTTAATTGAAATGCTGTAAATGCTGTCTGAACAATGTTTATGAATAAAAACCTTATTTAAATGTCTTTATAAAGCTACCATTTTTTTTAGAAAACTTAAATATACACAAACATACACAAACAATAATGTTTAATAGATTTTTGGTGCTTTAATTGACACGCTTTTGCTTTGTATCATAATTTTCTTGCAAATACCAAGCTGTTTTTTTTATTCTAGGTGTGTGTGGACAATGTTTTGAAAACCATGAAAGAGAACGCAAATAAGGCTAGCAGCATCCTGCTCACAGCAATCCCGCAAATCTGCCAGATGGACTGGGACAGCACAATAAATGCACATAAAGTGAGTTGAGTTTTTATTAAAATACTGCAATTATAAAGCAGCTTTTTTTCTTAACATAATATATGAGTTGAACATTTTCCATCACATCTGATTTTGTTTTTTCTCTTGGTTGTTTTTCAGTCGATGTCTCAGTCCTCAGTAATGTTGCCCAAACATTAACAAATCCTGCCATCGAGAAGTCATGAAAATGTAGTGTCTATGACTGCAGTTGTTTATCTTTAAACAAGTGTAATATTCTTACCACCATCAACCAAAAAAAAAAAAAAAGGGGGATTTGTATGTTAACCACACTGAAATGGCTGTGCAGTTATAATAAACAAACAAATAAACAGATTTAGACATATGCATGAAAGCACTGGTAGAGGGAAAAGACGGGATCTTGGGATAATTACAATTGTTTTAGTGCCTTTTACATTAGCAGTAGCAATATCACACAAATATAAGCATGACATAAATAGCTTAAATATAAATACAAGTATTTTGGTTAATAAATGGCTGTCATACCTACAAATAAACGAATGCTGTTTTCCCTATGCAGTTTGTGTGGATATTATTCATTGTACTATATTTGAATTAGCAAATATGTAACTTAGTCAGCAACACGTTTGTTTTTCTAGAATGAAGAACAAAGTGCGTATTTGTAACAAACTTGGATACAAATGTGAGGGGGACAAAAATGCAGGAGTGATTTTTTTTGGACAAGCGTTACCTGCTTCGTTTCCTTTGCATCTACACCGTTTTCTTTTACATCGACGCCTTATTTAACTTTTCTGTCTGTTTTTTTCCTCTCTCTGCCTTTCTAAAAAAATAGAGATTTTAATACACTTTCCTGCACTTAGTTAAACGAGTTATGCATGTAAAATGAAGCGCCTCGTTTTCTATTAGGCTATATATAGTTTTTTAAGGTTAAACTCTTAATTAACATACGGGTTTAGTTTGCACCGGGTATTTGAGTAGCCAGAAAAAAAGAAACAATTATCAATTCAACACTACAGTACAGTTAAGAATAAAGGCTAACAAACATCCCGCACAAACTAAATGTTTCTTTTGTCAGTTAACCCACACAGTTTAACCACACAGAGCTAACAAACAGCTAACCACGTTAAGCAAAATTATTTAAATTATGCCTTGGTATAAATAGAAAGTTTCATTTTTATTAGTCGTACAATATTATAAACTTAATAAAAGCATGTTTAACCGGAAGAAATGAAAAAAGAAAGAGCTCGCCAAAAATATTGGATGTCCTTGCGTTGCAAGCCATTTGATTCAATGTTTGTCGCCATGCTTTTCAGGTTAAAAACAAATAGGTGGATATGTTATTTAATTATTTATTTATCTTTGGACATAATGCTGTCTACACTTTTTATTATGCGAACTATAGGCTAGCATGAGCGTATGATGGTTTGTGTCTGTAGCCTTTTATTGAAGTTCCCATTGACTAGCTAATAATAAATAATAATAATAAATAAACTTAAAAGATACAGAAATAAAATTTTAAATGATTAGAATCTCCAAACTACATGAATGACCATGTGCTATTGAGAATTATAAGTACTTGAGTGCATTAATAAGGTTACCACCTAAAGTAGCCTAGGCTATGCAGTGATGCAGTCTTTAAACATTTTAAACACGATTGAGTAATTCAACCACGTCTACGTTGCCAGTCTGTTGTGCCACATCCACTGGTCGTAAATCGCAGTGATCTTTTGTATTGGGGTCGGCGCCGAAGCGGATTAAAAGCCGCACGGTGTCAATGAATCCGGTTCTGGCAGCGTCGTGCAGAGGTGTGCTCCCTGTGTCGGGGTCAGGCACATTAGGGTCCGCTCCCTGTTCCAGCAGCACAAGAGCCAAAGGTGCGTTACCCATCATCATCACCTGGAGAGGGGGAAAATTGCTGTCTCATGAAAAAATAAACGCCAGTAACGTCATGATGTCACTGTAAAGAAGTTTGTTTAATCAATAATTTTACTGCCATCACTCGAAATCTGGAAAGTAGATACTTTTTGGTTAAATAGGAACGAAAGCAGTGCACATGCTGGCACTGAACATTGCTGTGCATGATGCATTACTCTTTTAGCCTATCAATAAATTATTCACGGGCAGTAAATCAATTAAATGCAACAAATTGTGTTGTAGCTAATTCTTATTTTTCATATGATTAATTATGAAGATTCCTATAATCATTTTAAATAAAATGTATGCCATAAATATGCTTTGTTCACATTTGTGATTTTCTTAAACATCTTTCGTTTAATTGACATTTTTCTGAGGCAATTCATGCTCGTCAGAAGTTTTACAATTGCCTAATCTTTTACGATTTCTGGATGTATGCTGTCCATCTGTTTAAAGTGTGCTAAAAGATATCTATACGCACTTTATTGTAGGCTACCTCTTCGGCTTTTGATGTCCCGTAACCGAGAGCATGAACCGTAAAACCATTGGACATTGTGAAAATTAGATGAAAACTTTCACACCAAATATTATAATAATAGGCCTACACGATTATAAAAACAAGCAAAAATAAGTATGGTCTAAAATATATACTCCATTAGTCTATGACTGTGCTAGTGGTGGCTGATTATTTTGGTCAATATAGGCCAACTGTACAAATGTCAAAATATTAAACGTACATTCGTAAAAACAAGCATGGCAATAAGAGGAAAAGGGTTTTCGCAGTGATGCCCTTCTGGTTCCGCACAGAAAACCTATTACAAAGCTTCCAAAAGAAGTATTTTTATTGTCAAAAAATGAAATAAACATTTTAATAGTTTAAAGGCACATTTTTCAAAAATTTTCTCCATAGATGCAAAAGGTTCTTCTTAAAACCATCGATGCCAACAAAGCTTTCGGGAGTGAATTAGCAAGTAGTGTGCCATTCTTCTCGCACATAGAGATATGATTTAATAGTTTAAAATTTATCTGAAATTAAGATCTATAAAATGTCTTATTTATTTATTGTTATGTATATAAATCTATCTATCTATCTCTTATATATAATTGTAAACATTTGGTTTTTATACACAGTTATAGTACATTGGGACTTTCGTTTTCAATAAGATTTTAGTTTTCTTTGAATAATTTGAACTTTGACAATACATCCAAAACTCCTTGTCTTATTTCGGACTAATTTCTAAGAATGTAGCTATAAGTTAAAATTATAATGTTAAAATTAATGACATTACTAAAAGATAGAAAGTGTTGTTAGTATTATATAGGTTGATAACACGCTATTGGTAAACATGTTTCAGGCCGTTTAAGTAGCCTAAAAGGTTCTTAAACATGCTAAAATGAGTAAAATAAATACACAAATAGCCTAATATTTAAAAAAAAAAAAGAAAAGTAAATCCCATATAGTCAAACAGGTGTGAAAATATGAAATAGCCTAAATTTGTTAAATAATATGACCTTTAATACAAAATAAGTCTTTGAATTGTATGTTACTAATTTAATGTTACATATCTGCAATTAATCTTATTTATTTATTTGCATTTGTTTATTTCCGTTGTTTATTCTTAAAGCGCGTCTAAACCTACCTGTATAGGCGTTCTTCTAAATTTGTTAACCACATTGGCATTCACTCCGTTAGAAAGTAAAAACTGAACATGGGAAATGTTTCCGGTGGCTGCTGCTGTGGTCAGTTCATCCTCGACGTTCATCATCTTTATTGATTTTCGAAATTAATTCGCTTCACAGGTAAAACCAAATGATGATGATACTGCGAAAACAATCAGTTCAACGCTGTAATTTATTTTTATCGGTCTCCATGAATAACATGTTCCAATATAATGCGTAAATAAGCGAAACTGACTCGTTTATCAAAGTGTTGTGTCTTAAAATAATTTTTCGTAGCGAGATATTTGTTCGGACTTGTCTCTGTCATAAACGTCACAGCAAAACCGTGGTGCAGTACTGTCATACTGCGCCTGCGCACAACAGCTGAGTCAGGAAGACATGAGTTTACGACACAGTAGGAGAGGCTGCAGAGAAACAGAAATTAGGTTCTGCTAATGTTTTATGGCTAATGTAACTGGCATTAGCCTGCTTTTAGATCACAAGAAGTTTTTTTATTCTTTTTTTCGGGTACATAAGCATATCACAACGCTAATTATGCTAACATAATTGGGTTTTGTGCCATGGAGAAGTTACTCTTCGGGAATAGGCTAACGTTACCAGGAAAAATCTCTCGTTTTTCAAGAGTAAAGTTATTTTATGGATTTTGATTAAGACGCGATGTTAGCTAGGCCTGTAGAGATTAAGTTTGACTTGGCTACTTTAAAGTATATTATTTAGCCATTATGCTGTGTGGGGCGCTTAAGTTAAACTATATTTTTGATCCACATAAATTATAACAAAAAAGCATATACATACATTCGTGGTAGCCTATATTTATATTTTTTTCATAATGGTTGTTCTGTTTTTGATTGTAGATGAACATAAATCTATTTTCTGCACGATAGAAAGGACGCGAATGGCCATAATTTTGCCCAAACATCGTCTGACTTACAGTTTTGTAATGCTATTTCCCCATCACACGACTGTAGCTAAACTATAGCCTGTATCCAGAAACAAGGTATTAAACAATTGTAGCAAATAGTTTTTAATTTTAGCAGTGAGTTTGTTGCCTCTCTAATACGTTGAAAATAAGTAAAAAGATAAAGGGTCCTGTGGCTGTGTAGATCATTTACATAAAGTAAAAATCACATTCTGAGATGCACCTGTTTAAAATGAAGAACAGTGTGCTTTTGTATTTAATTTTCTAACTTATTCATGTTTTGATGTTGTTAACATGTTAATAATATTGGTTAATGTGCATGCAAAATAGATACTAAAATATGAAATAGTAAATAAAATAATCATAACAAACCAACGCAGTACAATATTAAAGAAAAAAAATAGTTGGCAAAGCCCCACTGGCTAAGTGTTAATAATAGAAAATTTAATTTAAATGTCATAGAAGCAACGATTAAAAATGAATTATTTTACTTAGTTTTGTTGAATAGATATTAAACAACATGTAGAAATAGAATAGTTGAACTATGTAACTAAAAGATATCCTGCACAAAGTTTACTTCACAACTCCAGTAAATAGGCATGAGCATTTTAATATTTAATACCACAGTTGAAATTCCTACATTAAAAGGGGGAAAAAAGAAGTTTTGATTTGATTTATTTATTTTGGATCAAAAATATACATAAAATATCATAAAAAAATAAAATAAAATAAAAAACATTTTCGAAAATGGACTGGGATGAAGCACAAGCCTATTATTTTCCCACCCCGTTACCACATACTTCATTCGTCTATTACTTAAACCTATTTCTTCTTTCACTCATCTCTTTTTTTTACATGAGACATATTTTATCCTTTTGGCATCTTTGACATGTTTAAATCCATTTGTACCTTTACATTTTGTAACATAGACCTAAAAAAAAAACAAAAAAAAAACATAGTACTGCAAATAGCCATTAATTAAAGTTTCATCATACCATTTTCAATCACCTTCATCATTATATTCCTTTTATAATATATATTTATTTATACAACTTTTTAAACTGATTACCATGCTGACATTGTTTGAGAGTCTGATCTGTTCCATAATTTCACACCACAGACAGACATACACAAACTTTTTAAAGTTGTCCTTGTTTTCAACCTCCTATAAAATTTAGTTCTTCTCTCAGGTTATATCCCCCTTGTCTTTATTCAAAAAACTTTTGTATGCATTTTGGATGTAATTTATTCCTAGCTTTAAACATAAATTGTGCTGTTTTAAATTTAACCAAATCATTGAACTTGAGTATCTTTAATTTTAAAAAATATATTTGTATGCTCCAAATACCCCACACCTTCTATCAGTCTGATTACTTTTTTTTCTGCATTGTACTTACGGATCGTAAATTAGAATAATATGTGTTCCCCCAAATTTCAACACAATAACTCATATATGGCTACATAAGTGTGTTATATAATATATACATTGATTTATTGTCCAGGATAAATTTTGCTTTATACACTATTGCTACAGCTAATTTTATGTTCCAATACAACACCAAGAAACTTAATTGCATATACTCTTTTTATATTTTCATTGTCAATATGTAAATTTATATTATGACTACTTTTTAATTTCCCAAATAACATAACCTTTGTTTTACTTGTATTTAATGACATTTTACTCAGATTTAATTTGTAAAAGTTCTAAAATAATATATTTGTGCATTTAGGCATTTTTGACATGACAATTTTTTGATTTATACATACTTATACATACTTAAACTTATACATACTCCCTTGTTCTGTCACGCACAAACCCACCCACAAACAAACATCATGCATGGGAACAATTGGCTGTTTGTGAGAATTTGAGAAGTAGCACAAGGCCATGTTACTGAGAATTAGAGCAAAAGTGATGAGTCACATGCATGCACTGCTTAACAGCTGGTGAAGATTGTGTTCAGGCAAAGCCCTCTCAACTTCTGCACTACCCGTCTGCTGGAGAATGTTATTCAGCAAATATAGTCAACATTTCTGACAGTACATCTGCATCATGAAAAAAAAAATGTTTATGTTGATATGCAAACTTAAGATGAGGTTTTCTGTGTACATTTCTGTTGTGAAATGAGCCCTATTCGAGTCAAAAGTTTGTAATCAGTAAGATCTGTTTTATAATAAACTCATGGCTTTGCATTCCTTTAATATAAAAATATTAAATATAGAATATTAAATAAACTTTTTTTTTATTTAATGTAGTTTAAAATGTTATTAATCTTGTGGTTTAAAGGTGAATTTTAAGCAGGATTTGTCTTCAGTGTAATATAATCCTTGAAATATTCTAGCATCATGGTTGCTCAAGAAGAAACATTTATTGTTGTTGTCAGTTTGGGAAGCTGATACAATACAATATAAAAGTATCAATCAAAGTGTTTACCCTTATTCACCATAATAAATCGTTTAAGAGTGAAAGTAAATAAAAAAAAAAAGATGATTTTTTTTTACATTCTTTGTTATCAAAGAATCCTAAAAGTAAATAGTACCACTGTTTCCATGATACTAAGAAGCAAGACAAAGTGTTTTCTTTTCAGCACTAATAATTGTAAGAATCATTCAACAGTGATCTACAATCAGCAGTGTTTTTGCACCATTAATAATTTATTATAACAGAAATGCAACTCATTATAATAAACAATTTAGCTTTAATTCACAGAAATTAATCAAAATTGAAACTACATTCAATTAGAAAACAGATATTTAAAATATTATTAAATAAATAAATGCAGAACTGCCTTTTTACACACACTAATCAACACTGATTCCAAACTTGACTGGTAGTTGGAAATGTGTGTGTGTGTGTGTGTGTGTGTGTGTGTGTGTGTGTGTGTGTGTGTGTGTGTGTGTGTGTATGTATGTATATATATATATATATATATATATATATATATATATATATATATATATATATATATATATATATATATATATATATATATAATTATTTAATATTAATTAATTAGATAATTGTGAATAAAAAAATAATATTGTTTTGGTAAAATTATGCAGATACACCCAAGTGGTGCTGTTTAGGCCTCTGACTAAATAAATAAATGCCTCTAAGTTTTGCAAGATTTGTTTTGCCTGTTTAATTTGATATTTTATTTTTTAAATTAAATGTAACCTAGTACACAATTCTCAATTGAATGTGATGCTGACAACAGCTGTAGGCTACTTCTGTTCTAATGCTGTGTTTTTTGTGTTATTAGAATTGATCTAAACACAAGTTTCTAGTTGGGAATTTACATGAATTGCATTTCAAGTTATATTTATGGCTGGAGATAATTTTAAAAATTGGAGTTACAGAGTTAGGTGAGCAATAAACTGTAGTGACTGTTGACTGATTTTCCACAACATGTACATTGCTTTCTGATGCCATTACATTCATGTGTATTGATGTATAAATAATCATGTATTGCAGCACTTCACAACCATGTTGATAGTAATTGTATGATGATACTGGTGGAAGGAAGTGGCAGAATGACACTAGGGAAATGGAGGACATGAAAAGATAACATTAAGAGAATTATTTTGCATGGCCCCAGCCTAAGGATCTAGATCCCTTTTTCTGCTACCATCCACAAGGAAGGCCAAAAGAAGCTCTTCCCATTTTCTTCAGCAAAGACGCAATACAATATGAAGTGGTTGGCATATTGTGAAGAGTCACACGGTTTATAAATTTGCCAATGATAGTTTATAGAGATAACTAAGGATGGCCTGGGTGGATATGAAATTTCCCGGTGTGATATTGTGTCCCACTCCACCCCTGGCTAAGACAACACATCCAAGCTGATGAGAAAGCAGTTCGGTGTGAGAGAGGTCATCAAGTTCAGATTGGACAGCTCACCAACAATCGGTAGACCCATGCAGTTATCAAGTGGTATCCACGCGTGTTGAATAGATCCCTTATAAGGCCTCCAAAATTGACAAACTAAGAGCTGTATGGACGAGGAAGGCAAAATCTAGATAGGAATGAAAAGTTTGCTTGTGAATGACACATCTCACAGATCAAGGTGACATCAGTGTCCATTATTTTATTAGTTATTTAATTAGTTATTTATTAGAGATTTAATTAGTTACATAAATTATTCTCAAAAATAGATTATACATAATGTAACAGGTTATTGTATGAGAATGTATAAGAATATGAAAACACTGTGTAGTCACAAAGTCAAAGTTTATAATATAATTACCATTTATTAATATAATAAAGAAACAAATGTTACATTGCAACAATGCTGTTGTTTTCATGCCATTCAAGCCCATACATTTAAAGTCTTGTGTTATTTTGTGTTCTGTTTTATTCAAGTATATTCTTTAAGAATTCTATATCCTGACACATTGTAACTGCCAATTTGCTGCTGTGACTGGTCAATTGCTTCTATAGAAATTTTTCAATCAGCAGCATGTTGAAGACAAGAAATCTCTTCTAATTTTAGCACCCATATGCATCAGGTGGAACACACCTTTCTAATTTTGTGGATGAATCATAGAGTGATTGCAATCAAAGCGTGAAGAACACACCTAGGAGTGACTATTTTAATATCACCATATGTTCACTTAAGTGAATGTCTACCATTGCTGTGCCACATTGCTGAGCGTCATGGGGACCACTGTGCTAGTCTAAACAGGTCAGTCTCTCCATTTATTCAATCTGTTGAGGAAGCAGAGAAGCAACTTAGATTGTTCTTCTGGATCTGACATCAGCCCCTGCTCTGGACATGATAGGTCTGGTCCTTATCCTTATTCAGAAACGAACTGTAGCTTTCATCCTGCTGATTTCTGATTTGGATTTGGACCCTGGTTATAATCAAATGACACTAAACATTACCCTTGTGTCAATTAATCCTATTCTTAACTCGGTAACACTTTACAATAACAGTACATGAATAATGATGTGATAATATGCTAACTAAACATTACTTTATTATGAATTAATGATGAGTTAAGGCACCCGCTAATCATGAACTAACTTTAACTACAACATGATTCACAAAAGTTTTTGTGGAAATAACAGCTAATTACTTGTTAGTACATAATGTTAAATAATGTATAAATTAACGTTTAAGTTTAAGCTACTGTAAATGTAACCAACATGAACTCCGAGCTGTTATTTATAAGTATATTGTGACTATTTGGAGGGGCACATCACCATTAACTCATCCTTAACTACTCATGAACTCCTATGTTTAAACTGTTCATGTTGATGTTGACTGAACACTTTTTC